ATATATGACGAGTGGCGATATATGACGAATTGCAATATATAACGAGTGGCGATATATGACGAGTTGCAATATATGACGAGTTATAATATAATATATGACAAGTTGCAATATATGACGAGTGACGATATATAACAAGTTGCAATATATAACGAGTGGCAATATATGTCAAGTTGCAATATATGACGAGTAGCGATAGAAGATGCGTAACAATGGCAAGTAAAAACATATAGCGCCCGGCGATATATAATGATTGGCAATATATGGCATATGACGACATACAGCTTTGAGCAGTATACAGTGCCTGCCCATATAGCATGTAGCCATGCAGATCACATGGTGATATTTAACCCACGGCTATATACAACGCGTGATATACAGAGAAAAGCGATATTGGACACGCCAATATAGAATGCATGACAATATACTGTGTGTGGTGATATAGAACGCGTTGCTCAACGATTTATCGTCCGAGTTTGTTCATGTGTATCGGAACTTTTTTTTATCGACTTCGTTTTTATTAAATTAATCTTATATACTAGCGAGCTAATATACTGAAAGCTTTTTATTGGACGTTTTATCGTGTTTTAAGGATTTAATAAATTGCAGATCTCATGTGTGTAACTATAAGCTTATATAACATGTTAGCTGCTTTTTTTTATTTTACGAGGTTTGTTCATAATTTTATGGTAATAATATGGATAATAATATGAATATTATAAAACTGATATGTGATGTCTGTCACAGATCTTCATTTAATATTTATTTATTTTAATATTAACAATAATTGTTCGTTCAATAAATTTTAGTAAAATAATTATAACTTTTAGTGGGTTAATAGATATGGTAAAAGAGCGGTACTGTTACAGAAATTGCATGTCGAGAGTTAATACAATTGAATCTTAGGTAATTTAAATATACGTAAGTCGCGATTTATACGCGACGAAGTTACGACATTGAATTTCTTCCCGGAATTAAATGATAGTAATCTTCGCTTGTGTACTTGTGGAACTTATCGATTAAAATAAGCTCCTAGTTATTATGCCAGCAATGTAAATGAAAACGGTAATTCGGAATTTACCGCCGCGAAAGAAGATGGAACAATTGATTACGATAAATATCAAATTGAAATAAATTCCACGACTCGTCTTTTATCGAAAACTCCGCGACGTTCTCGTCATTCGAATAATGTAAAATATCATGTTTATGCGCTGGTAAATAAATGCAAAAACGGAATCGATGCGATTATTGGACATACGTGCGCGCACGGTATCGGTAAAAGAGTTGCAGAATGTTCACATGTGTAACCATCTTGCGGTACTTTGAATTTGCTCGATACAAACATTCTATCCTTTCGCTAACATCTCACTTTCACGATTATTTTATACGTATTGTCCGAAAAGAATAAGACTGACAATAAATAAAATTATTTTATTATCGATGGTTTAGTTCTAATCAAGGAATTAATTATTTTTACAGAGGACTTTTTCACAGAGAGATTAATTATTGTGTACCAGTTTCAGTTATTCTTTATTTTTACTAAACATTAATGTACAATTTTTGTAAATAATAATATGAGAGAATTTTATTTATTCTTTTACATTACAAGTTAAAATTAACTTTCAAATAAATTGATTAGAACCACTTTAAATAATAAGCAGTTGTTTCTAAAACTCAATTTTCGTGAGGTACATTTTGTTAATCTAATAACACAAAACTACCGCGTTGTTTTATGCATCGCGCTGTTTATTGTCAATTTATATTATTTTTATCTAAGGACATAGAGACTTCAGTACTTTATACGCGACGTCTTTTATCTCGTATCACCGAGCAACCGCTGTTGCACGAATGAAAAGGCAGGCGCCTTATAATGCAACGGGAAAAAACGTAGTACAGGAGACAAAAAGAAAAACGAAAGAAAGGAATGTTAAAAAATTTAAGTGAGTAGGTATTCGCGTAGTGACATAAGCGTGCAGTATGTTGCACAACAAAAGAAGCCATTATACCTCTGAAACCATATTAATACCTGATACTTGCATTAATTGCAAACTTCTTTATGGAATTTATTGTAAGAGGTTACCTCGTACTGAGTTTCAAGATGGAGGGGGTGAAATTTGGTCAGAATTGGTTAGGTTATATTAGGTTTGATTAAATTAGGTTAGGTTAGATTATATTAGATTATAGGTCAGATTAAGTTAGATTGAATTAGATTATAGACAGATGATAAGTTAGGTTAAGGCTGAATTAAGTTTGGTTATGTCAGATTAGGTTATATTAAATTTGATCATAGATAGATTGTAGATAAAATAGGTTAACACTGAATTAAATTAGGTTATGTCAGATTAGGTTATATTAAATTTAATTACAGATAGATTGTATTCAAAATAGGTTAAGGCTGAATTAAATTATGTTACATTAGATTAGGTTATCTGATAGATTGCAGATAAAATAGCTTAACACTGAATTAAATTAGGTTATGTCAGATTAGGTTATATTAAATTTAATCACAGATAGATTGTTTTTAGAATAGGTTAAGGCTAAATTAAGTTTGGTTATGTCAGATTAGGTTATATTAATTTGATCACAGATAGATTGTATTTAAAATAGGTTAAGGCTGAATTAAACTATGTTACGTCAGATTAGGTTATATTAATTTAATCATAGATAGATTGTATTTAAAATAGGTTAAGGCTAAATTAAATTAGGTCACGTCAGATTAGGTTATATTAATTTGATCACAGATAGATTGTATTCAAAATAGGTTAAGGCTGAATTAAACTATGTTACGTCAGATTAGGTTATATTAATTTAATCATAGATAGATTGTATTTAAAATAAGTTAAGGCTGAATTAAATTATGTTACGTCAGATTAGGTTATATTAATTTGATCATAGATAGATTGTAGATAGAAGAAGTTAACACTGAATCAAGTTAGGTTATGTCAGATTAGGTTATATTAAATTTGATCATACATAGATTGTAAAAAGAGTAGGTTAAAGTCGAAGTAAGTTAGGTTATGTTAGTCTAATGTGAAGTTAAGCTACATTAAATTAATTTATATTACATTATGGCGTATTAGGTCAGTAACATTAAGACAAGATAACTAAGCTCACGTTAGTTACATTTGATTAGATTACATTAGTTAAGTTAAATTAGATTAAGGTTGCATTAAATTTGAATTACCTGGGACGGTACATTAGTTCAGATTAGGTGTAAGTATATTTAGAACAAGCCAACATCGCATCGAATTAAATTTCACCGATTTCATAAAATTATTAACCGAAATAAATCTCGAACGACAATCATTAATCATTTTATGTAAAAACGCATTACAGGTGTATGCAGAAATTTTCATAAAACGTCACATTGCATTATGCTTTTTAGGAAAATTTCGTCATCGAAGTGTGTCAAATATTTGACAGTTTGAACAGTTCGGTAATAAAGTAAAAAGCTCTTTCGTATATCGTAAATCATTTACCCTTAATTAATTACGGACGAAGTAGATTCGTCGGATGTTCACAACGTCTACGATTCTGCGGAGTTTCGTTGCCTGAATAAATCTAAATAAAAAGTACCGAGCCCGGTAAATATATCGTAATAATGAAGAATGGCGAGCAACGAATCAAGCGTCGCGACGCGTCGTTAACGAAACTCGTTAACGCCTAGGCATCGAATATTGACGTCGGGTATTAAGCGCATGAGAAATAATTAGAAATTAAACACTTTCGCCTTGGCTGGCAACTGGCAAGGTTAATTGGCCTGTTTCCTTGTCATGAGCGGCGTGAGCAATTAATTACTTTCACACGTTTCCCGTTACTGGTTTGTTAATTACATGCTTAACTGCATTACGCGAATACGTAACTAGGTTTGCAATTGGTCGAAGTGCAAACGTTATACCGGGTACACACAACCCGCTCTAACGA